CTGATAAATTTCTGTCTACTTCAACAAATTGACAAATCATACTTGGATAGACTACGAATACATTTGCTGTTGAAATAGTTCCCTGGTATCGTCTAAGGACACATGTCTAAGCATTAGTTTTCTTGTAATAATAACCCACCCACCTTCACCCCCTGACCTTAGTTTAGCGGAGACTTGACGTTCATTGGTTAATCTAGACATACCCACAAGTATATCTTTAATTATGATCTTATGCCTCATTTAACTTACGAAAAGAGGTGCAGATTTCTTTTTTAAATTTCTCTAATAAATCATTTTTTATCACAAGTTATCTTGCCTGAAGAATTACCATCTTAGTGCCGAAACATGAAAGTTTTTGTGTAACTTTGTAAAATGTTTTATTGTAATATATATATATATATATATATATATATATATATATATATATATATATATATTATTTTTTCTGAGGACCATTTTATGCAGCATTATAATTTTTATTGTAAAAAGGCATATTTCATATTTATTGATAAGTTACATCTGTTATTGGCCATCATTTGGCTCACAATGAACTTAATTTATGTAATTCATTCATTTTTTTGTGTGTGTGTTAACAATACATTTAATCTCGGCTCGTGTCGTCTGCCTTTGTTGCATCTCCATATAAATTAAATGTTGTTTGAACTATTTTTGTTGCAATTTTTCTACTAAATGAAAAATCCTATGACAGACAAGGAAAATTTAATTAATTTTTATTCAATTTTTCCTGTGTTGTTACATTTTTTTCCGATTGTTGGGGGTAAGGGAGTACAAAAATTGTCTATATAAAATTTTCCTTGTCGGTCATATTTAATGAAATATGTTTAAAATTACGGCTGCTAAATATATATATATATATATATATATATATATATATATATATATATATATATATATATACTAATATACATATACGTATACCTACGTTTGAGTGTGTAGTTTCGCTGGTCTTCCAGCTCATCGGGCACAAGTTATATTTTGTTTTTATAAAAATACACAAGTGTCATATGTGAGGAACGCCGCTTATAGTCCAAAAATAAAAATACTCCAAATGCAGGAAATGAAGTGCGGATAGAGTTCATTTTGAAAAACAAAGAGCGAAAATTGAAAAAAAATGAAATTAAATAAACAAAAGAGAAAACAGAAATTTAAAATTATTGCTGGTGTATAAGGTTGCTTATACCAAATATATAATTTAAAATTATCACGCGAGTATACATTTACTTATATCTGGTCATTTGATTTACCTAATAGTCTCTCTCTCTCTCTCTATATATATATATATATATATATATATATATATATATATATATATATATATATATATATATGTAAGCAAATATATGGATATAGATCCGACAGTGTGAAAAAAATATACGGAAAATACAAACAAAAATCCTAATATGCAATTATGCTGTTTTAATGTTAATATAATGTCAACGTCGGACGTTTCGGTCTAATAGACCATCTTCAGGACATATTCATAAAACATAATTAACATTAGACCATATTCAATTCAACATGAAAAAGACGAATATGTCCTGAAGATGGTCTATTAGACCCAGAAACGTCCGACGTTGACATTATATTAACGTTAAAACAGCATAATTGCATATTAGGATTTTGTTAGTTTTTTCGTATATTTTTCTTCATACATATATATATATATATATATATATATATATATATATATATATATATATATATATATATATACTAGCAATTGAGGCAAATGAGAAACGTAGGGGTTATTAAACAAGCGTTCTATATTCTAATACTACTTTATGTTCTTCTTAGCTTGACTTCAGGAACGTAGACGTCCCAAGTTTGATGTCCGCGTCTACTCTAGGATGCCTAGTGGCTGATCCAATCGGACCGATGGCTGATTCTTTCAACGGCTTGTTCCGCTGTTGTTGCTGTATTGATACATTTGATATGTTTTTTCCTCCTTAACATCTTTAATCCTCGGATAAAATATTTTGATGGAGGGTGAAGCACCTGTTCCCCCAGTATGTAGTTAGGTAAGCCTACTGACAGTTATCAACGTGACAAGTGCACTGATTTTAATTCAGAGAGGGCTTACATTGTGTCATGCCCTGTGAGATATTTCGCTAGAAAAATAACAAGTGAAAATCGTGTTGTGTCAGACACACTATGTCTCCCAACTGAGCAATAGTGAGAGGAAAAAGATCATTCAGGATAATGGTACCAAAATTTATACTCTGGCTTCAATCTTTTATATCCATTCAAGAACCATCAAGACAATGGTGAATAATTATAAGACAGAGGGAACATTTGAGAGGAAAACTTGATCATGAAGTCACAACAGGAAGAGGCAACCGAGATCAATTAGAAATGACCCAGCTCAATTCATAAGACGTTTGAGACATGAGGGAGAAGTTTCTGATATGACAGTTCTAAGATCAATGAAAAAAAAAGACTTGAAAATGAAATCGTATGTGAAACCTGTGAGGCACCTTGTTATTCGAGGACAGAAAGTTAGAAAGTTAGAGAGAGCGAAGATCATATGGAATAAGTTCGAAAATAATCCTGGAATATATATATATATATATATATATATATATATATCTTTATTTCATCAATTCCTGAGCTTCCGATCCTTAGCTATGTCATGTCATTTTCGTTTATGGTCGATTTCATCACGATTTTTCTGTTAAACTTGGAGAGAAGATTCCAAAAGTGTTATAAAACCCTTAGAGAATTCCAGTAATATATCTTTAATCATTTCAAAGATACAACGGCTCAGTGCTTAATCTAACAATTGGCCAATTTTGCTAATACACCCAGTTTATACGATCCTATCGTCCGGTTCACACTTTTCTCAGATCTTTTGAACAGGAATTGATGCTTAGGCTTTGCTTCCTGTTTAGGATTAGATTTCAGATCGCTTCTAAAGTCGGCTTCAACTCTATACGCCTGTCGTCTGCATCTGAACTCTGTAATTTTATTCTCTAACTAATTATTTCATTTTATTTCTTTCTCTCCCCCGCCAGTAGGTCCGCCTATCGTCTAGTTCACACTCCTCCCTGGTCTTTTGATCGTTACCTCTATCCTCTTAATGTTTGCCCTTTCTTACTCTAGTACGGCTACATATATTAACCTTCTACCTTGAGTGGCGCTTGAGTCCAGTATTTGGTAAACATTAGTAAAATGTAGAGAAATACTAAATCAGACGAAGAAGTGATGAACAAGAATACTAAGTGCACGCACCTGAAGAAATAAAACAAATAAACAAACAAACTCAGAAATAGAAAGATCAATCTCTAGGCAGATTAAATTTGAAACAGTTTGAAAAGGGTGACGTGGGTATAGACCTCAACAGGAAATTTAATAGGCAATGAAACAGGGAGGGAAGGAAAAATTCGATTCGGCGTCAATTTAAGTCGTCAGCAAACAAACAAAAAATGCAAATAGATTACAGGAAGAACTGAACTGTTACGAGTGGGCCAATCTTGTGAACTGAATGAGAAAATTGAAAGCAGTCACCCACATCCACACGCTTAAACACAAACCTCAAAATAAATAAATAGATGAACTCGTGCGTCAAAAAATCGACATACCTCAAAAAATTGCTTCTAACTAAGAAGTCACAAAAATTATATGTTTATTTCATACAGAGGGATTCAGGTGATATCTATATATCTTTCTTTCTACAAAGACACATATATATATATATATAGAGAGAGATACTCATAAACAGAAATGAATATATAAAATGTACGATGAATAAACTGTCGTCTAAATGAAGCAAAAATGAAAATAACACAGGCATTTCATTTTAACAGAAATATTTACGAAAATTACACAAAACATTTCTTGATATACTAAAGAGAATTCAGCAAGATCAGCCTTGGCTTCAACACCGGCCTCCAGACGACTTCACAATCTCCTGTATCCCTTCTCGATTGTCTCCTTGTTGGTGAATTCTGTCATAATCCTTGTCTTCAGATCATCTTTAGTCTTACAAGGAGATTTGTTGGTCGCTGGCTCAACTGGGCCCCACACAATCAAGGGGTTGTAGCCTGGAGAGTTAGGTGGTCAGATGTAACGGATGATGTTGTTGCAGAAATGTCTAACACCCATGACTGAGTTCTACTGCTTAGAAATGAATAAGAATAAATTACTGGAATTCTCCGAGGTATTTATAACACTACTGGACTCTACTTTGAGCAACAAAAAAAAATGTATAATTCCTCTTGAAGCTTAATAGAAAAATCTCGATGAAACCAATCATAAACAAAAATGGCATGTTCATCATTAATTAATCACAGCTAAAGATCGGAAGCTCTTGTAGGATTGAAATAAAGTTGAAATATATGTATTCATTGTTCCAGGATCATTTTCCAACTTATTCAAGATGATCTTCGCCCTCTCTAACCTTCTAACTTTCTGGCCTAGAGTAACAAGATGCTTCAGAGTTTTCATTTTCCAGTCTTTTTTCACTGCTCTTTGAACTGTCATAGCTGAAACTCCTCTCACACATGCCAAAAGTCTTATGGATTGAGCTAGATCTTTTCTAATTGATCCCTTTAGATCTAAGTTGAAATGATGATCCCTTTTCCTGTTGTGACCGCCTGATCCAGATTTCGTCTATAGTGTTCCCTCTTTTTTAAACTTATTCACCGTTCTCTTCATATTTTATGGATGGAATTTGAAGATGGAAGCCAGAGGATGAATATTGGTACCATAACTGAAGGCCTGATTTTTTTTTTGTTTGCACCAATGCTTTGTTGCGAAGACGTAGTGCAGCTAACACAAAATGATTAATCTCTGAACCGTTGTCTCTTAGAAATTATTAAAAATATCTTAGTAGAATTCCCCGAGGTTTTTATAAGACTTTGGACTCTACATAAGAATGTATAATTACTTTACAAGCTTAACAAAAGAATGGTGATGAAATCGATCATCTACGAAATTGACATGTTCATCATTAATTTAATTGTTTAATGATTGTCCAGCTAATGGCCACATCAGGTTGGAACACCGGTTCCCGTATAGTCACCACAGTTAAGCAACGTCGAGCCTGGTCAGTGCCTAGATGGGTGTCCGCTTGGGAATATCAGTTGCTATAATTTTGGATGTGTGGCTGATACAGTTTACAGCCATATCACATTGAAACACCATTTCCGTACGATCACACAAGTTAAGAAATGTCGTGCCTGGTCAGTACCTAGATGAGTGACCGCTTAGGAATACCAGATGCTTTAAGTCGAGTTATGTGGATGATACAGTTTACGATCATATCACGTTGAAACACCAGTTTCGTACGATCACCGAAGTTAAGCAACGTTGAGAAAGCTCAATACATAGATGGTGAATGCTTGGGAACAGCAGGCGCCCAAACTTGGATGTGTGTGTGGTGCAATGGAATTGTTAATTGAAGAACCGAGTTCAAATTCAAGTCGGGTTCGTTATATACACTTACGCGCGAATACATTGGCGAATATAAGAATCTACCTCATCTCCCCACTTATGGGTTAATTATTAACACTTTTGTCAATAAAACATTATTATCTTCAAAAATAAAAATAAATTTCTGTAAAAAAATATTGGATAGCCACTAAAAAACTGAATGGTTTGAAAAAGTCGGTACTTGTTCGTTTTTCAATCTTTTCTCTTTTTTTTTGCATGTTATATAGCCAACCCTTGGAAATTAAAATGGCAATGAGTAAAACTCATTGAGTTTTTCTATTCCAATAAAAGGTCAGTTATTCAAACTCAGAGGAAATACCAGTAAAATTTTAATGTCAGAGTATCTCCGAGTGATGCCAGAACCTAATTGCCTTGTTTGAAAGAACTGAACAGTCGACAATCTTCCACTGTGCGCGCTGAAGAAATTGTGAAAGGTTTTACGGCAGAGTGTCATGAAGGATCGATTAGCTTCTACCCGTCGTCGATCTGCTCAACTGAATTTCGCCACAACATCGTTTCAGAAGATTCTGTAACTGGATTTAAAATTGTTTCCATAGAAGATTGAAATGGTCCAAACTTTACTACCCCAAAATGCTCAGATGCTTGTAAAATTTATTACTGTTTTATATAATTCAATCTTTCATTGACTACCCTTTATTTAGATTACGGCATTAAATAAACAATGGAATTTGACAGGGAACCAAAGAAAAAAGAAAAGAAAAATTAACCATGATAATTCTTGAGAAATGTCTTGGAGTAGTTTTCTGTTAACTTCTCAATGTTTCTGAAATTAGACTTGTCCAAACAAAAGTATTAGGTTGGTGCAAAAATAATGACGTAATGATGTCGTTTTTTGACGTTAAAAATACGTTCAAAAACGACATTATTACGTCATTATTTTTTAACCTAATAAATTCCTTTGATTTTTTCCCCATTGCTGGAGGAATTACACTTTTTTCAAATGCAACAATTATATTCGTCCTAACAATGAAGTTTATATAGCCAACTTTTGGAGAATTAAAATGGCTACGTATGATGTACAGCAACGAGTGAAACTCGTTGTGTTTTTCTATTCCAATAAAAGGACAATTATTCAAACTCAGAGAAAAATACCGGTAAAATTTTAATGTTAGAGTATCTCCTAGAGAAAACATGATTCCGGAACCTAATTGCCTTGTTTGAAAGAACCTGAATCAGTCGACGATCTTCCTGGAAGAGGTCCTAAGCGTACTGTCCGCGCTGAAGAAATGCTGGAAGCTTTACGGCAGAGTGTCATGAAGGATCCATTAGACTCTACCAGTCGTCGATCTGCTCAACTGAGATTTGCAAGAACATCGTTTCAGAAGATTTTGAAAGGGGATTTAAAAATGCTTCCATAGAAGACTGAAGTGCTCCAAACTTTACTACCCCAAAATACTCATGTGCTCTAAAAGTTATCACTGTTTTATATCATTCAGTCTTTCAGTGGCCAGACTTTAATTAGATTTCGGCATAAAATAAACCATACAGGTTGATATGCCGACAAAAAAAAATAAGCATGATAATTCTTGAGAAATGTCTTGGAGTAGTTTTCCGTTACATTCTCAATGTTTTTGAAATCAGAATTGTTCTAACAAAAATGCGCTGATAATTTTTGCCCACTGCTGGAGGAAGTTGAGATGGAATAATGCCTTTTTCAAAGGCAATAATTTACATTCGGCCTAACAATGAAGAAAATGATTTCTTTGTATTTTTAATGGTTGGAAAGTCATCATTGCCTACACATAGATGTCCTTATAATTCTGTTGTTTATATAACTTTTTTTATTTTATTTTCTTTCAGATATATGTATCATTATTTCCTTTTAACTTAAGTACACCAAACCTAATAAAAACACTGGAAATATATTTGAAAAAAGCAGAATAAAATAAGAAGCAGAAAAAAAATAAAAGCAAAATGAAAAATAACCGAACAATATTTGAGGAAAATAAAACTAAAAATCGATGCAAGAAAGGATTGTGTCCAGATGAACATGAAAAGGAATTGATAAAATCAAAACAAAAAGGATCTCAAAGAACGAAAGCGATGGCTAATGAAAGAAACAAAGAAAATAAGAAAAGAAAAACGATAAAAAATGAACGAACGAAAGTAAAAAAAAAAGGAAAGAACGAAAGAGATGTGAAGAACGGACGAAAGCGAAAAGTGAAAGCAAGAACGAACGAACGAACGAACGAACGAACAAAAGAAAGAAAGAAAGAAAGAAGATCAAATGAAATCAAAATAAAGAAAGAAAGAAAGAAAGAAGGAAAAGTAAAGAAGAGTGTCAACAGTATAAGAAGTGAGAAATAGAGGGAGAAAAGAAAGGACAAATAAATAAAGAAAGAAAGGAAATGAGAAAGAAAGAAAAATGAGAAAAAGATAAAAGTAAAATAAGCAAATAGAAAAAAAAATAACAAATAATTACGAAAGAAAGAAAGAAAAAGGTGAGGAAATTTAAAATACAAAAATGGAAGGAAAACGAAAGAACGAACAAATAAAAGAAAGAAAAAAGAAGGAAAGAAAAAGAGGAAAATGATAGAACTAAAGTAAGCAAATCGAAAGAAATTAAAGAAAGAAAAGAAAGCTATCAAAAATGGAAGTAAAATGAAGAAATAAATAACGAAAGAAAGAAAAAAAAGGAAAGAAAAAACTTACACGATTAAAATAAGAACACAAAAAGAAAGAACAAACAATGAAAGAAAGAAAAGGGGATAGAAAAAAGAAGGAATGAAAATAAGAAAAAGACAGAAGGAAAGTATACATAGAAGGGAAGAAAAAATGAAAGAGAAAGAAAGAAATAGTAAAGGTAACAAAGAAAAAAGACAAAAATAGAGAGAAAAAGAAAGAAAGAAAGAACGGACAAATGAAAGAAATGAAAGAGGAACGAAAAAGATGGAACGAAAATAGGTAAAAAATGTCACTAAAGTAAGCAAATGAACGGAGAGAAAGAAAGGAAAAATGCAAGAAAGAAAAATGAGAGAAATAGGGAATGAAAGATAGGAGGGAAGAAAGAATAAAGAGTGAAAGCAAGTAAGAAAATAAGTAAAACCCCTAATTAAGAAAGGACATAAGGAAGGAAGACAGTAAGAAAGTACAAGGTAAAGAAAAGTACAAGAAAGAAAAGTACAAAGAAAACATTAAAAAAGAACGAATAAAAAAAATATGAGGTAAAGGAAGAAAGAACGAAAGTTAGAATGAGAATACGAACGAATGGAAAAAAGACCAAAATGGAAGAAAGAAAAAAAAAAAACGATATAAAAATTGAACGAACAAACGAGAATAAACGAGAATAAACGAGAAGAAACGACATCAATTAAATGAACTCCATATTTAAGTAGAAACAAAAGATGAAACAAATTGGCCGATTTAATCTAAGGCAAATTATGTTAAGTTTTCCTTTTTCCTTTCATTTTTTCCCGATTTTTATCCAATTTCATCATCTCGCCCACAAACATGATTCGACAATGGCGGCCACGCGCGCAAGAAAGTGATACGTCATCATTCGACCAGCACGAAATTATGTCAGACCCAAACGCGCATGCTCACACGTGCATAATGGCTTCGTAATATTGAAAATAATCCTAACGTTCTTTGATTCAATATTGGTAAGGAAAACATATAAAATAGGATGATAGAAATTCCTCAGTTTAACCGAGACATGATTTTTAAATATGTTGCAGTAGGTTCGTTTGGAAATCACGTCAGGTCAATATATATTGAGGACACCGCTCTTAGATAGAATGAAAGAAAGGGCAACAATATTTTGCACATGTAAATGACGGACGTAAGAAAATATAAATATATATATATATATATATATATATATATATATATTAGAATAAAATATCTGTTTATACGTTGTTATGTCCAGATACAAATTTTAACTTCGTGGAATTTTAAATAAAACACACACACATACATAACATATATATATATATATATATATATATATATATATAATATATATATATATTTATGTTTATACGTTGTTATTATTATAGATACAAATATTTATTTAGTAAATTTATAATAATACATATATATAATACCATTTTTACCCCATTTCGCTCCTGGGATAAATTCCTGAATGTCCGAAAAATTTGATTCATTTCTATGTTCTATAATAAATATATTGATCTCTCTTTTGTTGTAATACCTATATAATAGGTATCCTCCAACAGGAATCGAACGTGCATCTTAAATGAAAACATCATGTAGGACCAGATGTGGCGGTTGGTATGACATATAGTCTACAGAGGAAAATTCTCTGCCTGGAGGCAGAGAGGATCTGGTTAGCGCTCGTCTCGGTCAAATTATATAAAGGGGAATTTTGCAACATCTGATCTTTTAAATCCTGTAGTTGGAGATTTATTATGAAATTTTCCATGATTTCTACGCGCGCTTGAACGTTCTCCAACCTCATATTCCATTCAGTAGCTCGAAACGTATTTTTAATATTTTAAATTATTAGGATTGACTTAACGTAAACAAATGATATTATATATATTATGAACTTTCACCAGGATCATCGATAAAATGAAATTGATTTTTTTTTCTATCCGACAAATAAATTATTATATTGAAGCAATTATTTTATATATATATATGCAAATATTTAAGTAAATAGTCAATACCGGGT